ATATATATATATATATATATATATATATATATATATATATATATATACTGTATATATATCATAACTACCTCCAAGTCAAAGCAGTTTGATGCCTTTTACCTGTTGTACAAATGCTAATGTACCTTTCGTAAACTGCACTTAAAGTAGCACCATGACAGACAGTCTTTCAGTTTTCAATAAAAGCGAACCTCTACCCTCTCTCCTCTCCTCAGTTCTCCTGAACATGTCGACATACTTGCACCCTGCACCCAGCGTCGAGGGCAGAACGGTGGCTCTGGGCATCAAGGGCACAAATCTTTACCTGAGTTGCCGCAAAGATGGTGCCGAGCCAACTCTGCATCTGGAGGTAAAGCTCGTGACTCGTCACACGATTCTCACCACACACTTTGTAGTGCTATGAAAGGGTGATGCAGTGACCCTTTACGCAGACCCTGACCTTTACCTTTTCACACCCTCAGGCGGTGGAGAACAAGAGTCTGTTGAGCGGATTGGGCACGAGCATCAGCATGGACAGCGACCTGGTGAGATTCCTCTTCTACAGACAGGACACCGGGGTGAACATCAGCACCCTCATGTCCGTCGCCTACCAGAACTGGTACATCAGCACGGCGCAGCAGGACAACAAGCCGCTGGCAATGTGCCTGGAGTCCGCCACGCGCTCCCGAATCTTCAGCATCCGAGAGGAGGTTGAACGTCAAATTTAAAAACCTGCCAAAGACGCCCAAAGTGGAATGTGGATCTGCATCTGGGGGTCAAGTTTGACCCTCTGAAGAAGACATTATTTTGGGGGTATTGAACAGAGCGTAATAATATACTGCACTTCAGCTATTTTGATTCAGAAAAGCAACAAAGACACGATACGGTTGTCTGGTAAAAGGTTGCGAGTATTCCAGTGCTTCTATTTACTGTATGTACCAAGTACAGAAAGTGAAATGCTTCGTGTATTGACTTAAGTCAAGTTTCACCAGAAGATGGCATCATTGTGCTTCTCTGGTGAACACCCTGTGTATTTATTGTGCTGAATGACATGACACACTGTTAATGCTTTTATCTATTCATGTATTTATCTATTTATGCAGCATTTTAATATACATGTAGATATTTATTTGGAAATCTGCGTACTAACAAGTATTTAAATGATGTGCAGTGAAATATTGAATAAAGCCTTGTAACTTATTTGGATTTGTGTCTTATATTAGTTCACTGAAATGATAAGGGACTTCACCATAAACATCAGCTGTCGCCCATTTTCTAGAGACAGTTATTCTGATCAGATTATGAGCTGCAGTTCTGTCCTCCATCTAATATTTCTACAGAACACAGAGACCCAGTAACCAACCAGTGTTACCATGTTCCTACGGCTGAATACTATTAGTACACTTCTGAGGTACTTTTACTTTACTTGAGTATTTTCATTCTAAAAGAGTCCTCTGACTTTTGATACTTTGAAGTAGAGTTTTCTCATAATATTATGGTCTTTATGGTCTATCAGGGTTTTTTATTTGATAGTCTATTTCCTATTTTATTTTGAAGTTCACTCGTCATGTGTCATGTTTAGTTCTACTTCCTGTTTTTGTTAGTTTGTCCACCTTTTTAGATTGGCCTGTCCTGATCAGTGTCACCTGTCATTATTGTTGAGTATTTTTAAACAGAGGGACGACTTTTATTTCTGTAAACAACCAAAATACTTGTAACAGAGTTTTCCCTGATTAAAAGCTCATGCATTGTTGGAGTATATGTATTTATCTTTGTATACTTTAGGACTTGTCAGTGGTGGAGAGTAACAAGTACATTTACTCAAGTACTGTCCTTAGGACAGCTCCTAAAGCACCTCCTTCACCTTCTCCAGGAAGTTGTCTTGGTTCAATGAGCAAATGTTCAGCACTCTGGTAACGCCCCTCGCTCTCGTCCTGAACAGGTTGTCGTCCCGATCAAACATCAGAGGAAGGCCCACGATGGGAACTCCACGGTAGATGGACTCTTGAAGTCTGTTGGTGCCTCCGTTGGGCCACAAACACTCTGGTCTTTGTGTCCTAAGAGGATGTTTTGGTGCAGCCAGTCCAGCACCAAGGTGTTGTTGCTCAGAGTGGACCGTCTCTTCCCAGTATGCCTCCAGATGACCTTCTGAGGGAACTGGGCAACAGCAGCAGCCAGATCCTCAGGAAGAGTCTCCACCAAGGTCCCCAAGCTCATAACAAAGACTCCATGCTCTGCAGAGCTCTGGGCAAAGTCCTCCAGATGTTGAGGAAGCAGCTTGGAGGGTTTGTTGTACATTAACTGAGACACAATGTTGAAAACTAATAGTCGTATTAGTGAGTTTTGTCTCATGTTTTTATAAATACTAACGAAATAAATTGCACATACATTTGGCTGCTTTGACTTGTGATAAATAGGACACCATCTGCTGGTGACTAAAGGACATAACAGCATTTCCTCCTAATAACTACACCTGTCACACAGGTTTGTGAAACTGAAAGAAGATTTTGACATTGTTGAACAGAGCTGAGACACCATTACAGGGTGTGAGATCTCTGCTGGAAAACACACGTTTCGAGTATTTGAACCAGTGAAGAGACGGAACAGTAACTTGGTGAGTCTTGTTATTGAAAGATAATTTAGATACCAAGACAAATGGCTGAGAAAAGAGCTCTTTTTGAAAGTTACCTGAACTGCCATGTTTGTTCAGAGACATTCAGAGATCCTGTGTCTCTGCGCTGCAACCACAGCTTCTGTTCAAGCTGCCTGCAGCTATTCTGGAAACAAGCTAAAACCAAAAACTGTCCCATTTGTAAAACAAAGTCCTCAAATGACAATACTGGGGTGAACTTTCCACTGAAGGAACTGGCTGACTCGTTTGCCAAGAGACAGAAAACTGGATCATCTGAGACGGACCAAGAAAAGCAGAAAGAAGAGGTCGTGTGTGAAAAACATCCAGAAGTTCCTTATTGGTTCTGTGAGGACGAGCAGAAAGCTGTGTGTCCTGTCTGTGAGTTTTCTCTCCACCAGAGTCACAAGGTGGTTCCTATA